TACAATTTTTTTCTTTTTATAAATATAACACTTTGATAGTATTATAAAAAATTAAATATATGATTTACATTTGATGTTATATATTATATAACTCTATAATTTAGTTGTTTAAGTTTTTTATTCTTCATTATTAATATATAGTAATTTTTTTATATATTTTCATTTATATTCTTATTGATTGTTATTAATAAATAATATATTTTTGAGTTTGATACATAAATTATAATTTAAAATAATTAAATTATAATCTTCTTTAATATAGAGTTTTAATTTCTGGAATTTGCATACAATACATTTTAAAATTTATTTAGATACACTATAGATAAATATTTGTTAGTGATAATTTATATTTTTTTGTTGTGTTTAAAAATGATACTTTTACATCTATTATTTTAGTATTTTGCACGATTTTATAAGTAATTATATTATTATTTATTGATAATTTTTTTTAAATTATAAATAAAAAGAAAACCCGCACGGTTGTGCGGGTCGAGATCTAGTTTCATTTTAAAATGTATACTTCGATTGGTCTTTTATGTGTTAATTAATTATCTGATAATATTAATATTACAATTTTTAAAGAAGTTATCATTATTTAGTTATTTTTATTTAAATAATTATTTTTGTCTTAATAGTTAAATATGGTATTTTGATGAGTGGGCAAAAAAATATGAATCCGAAAAACCAAACCAAATCCGTTCAGAAAAAATAATATCCAATCCAAACCAAAACGGGTTAAATATTCCAAATGGTTTCAAAATTTTGATAATTAGACAACCGAATCTAATCCAGACCGAAGTATTTTGGATATCCGAATATATACGAATCAGATTTATATACTTGAATCTATTAGTAATATTAATCTTATATCCAAAATTGATCCCAAATATTTTAAAGATATACAAAAAAATCAAAAGTAATAATCTAAAATCGGTAAACAATACTCAAAACACTAAATATAATTAATATATATGTTGATTCTTCCAAATATTTAAGCCATACCAATTTTAGGTTAAATTTAGATATTTTGGCATATATTACTCAAATTTTTATGTTATACTATTTTATTTTTAGATTTTTAGAAATTTAAACAATACATAATTTTAAATTTTAAAAATATTTTAAATGGGTTATCCGAATCCGAACCGAACCAAACCGAACCTGTAAAGATTTAAACCGAAATTTAAAAATACCCGAACCGAACCCAAATGGATACCCAAATGTCACTTCTGGTATTTAGATACCTATTCAGCATTTATAGAGAAGTAATTAATTTTAGATAAATTATAATATCTAATCAAATAGAAATAAATGTAGATACTTGTTAGTATAAAATAAATCAGTTATATGTAATAAAATAATTTAAAATTATATTTCAAAAATAAAACGGTATCATTTATTTATTATATATTAATTTGTTTAGTTTATTTCCAAATTAAAAATATATAAAAATTCAAACATATTTATAATTAGTGACAATGAATAGTGGGATTTCATTTGCCTATCTAATTAATGTAGTTTTATTTATTTTATCGAATCAATTATTAGTTTTGATAGATTTAAATAGTAACTTTAAGAACATAAGAGAAAAAATACCATTAATTTTAAGAAAAGAATTTGTAAAGTTGAAATAATGTTTTCTTTGGTGAGTATAATTGATTATCATTTAAAAATATTTACTAATAAATTCAAAGTATATCAATTATTGAAAACTAATTATAAATATTTGTTAAGTTTTCTTCCTATTTATTCTATTAAAAATCAAATACAAAAAAATAATAGTACTTTTTAATGTGATTTCTTACTTATTTTTTCATTTTTAGTTAATGTTAAAACTTATTTATTTATTGTATTATCAAAATAATTCGACTACATTTATTTCTGAAACACAAAACACAATTTATTTATTTTTAAGTGTTTTGTTACATCTTTTACATTTATTTCATCACCTTTTATATAATCACTTTATTAATTCTCTTTAACTTAATAGTTTAATAGCATTTATTTTGTATGTTAAACATAATGTTTGAATAAAATTACTCCTGACTAGAATTCAAAACGAATGAACATTACGGTTTTGTTCATATATAAATCATTTCTTCTTTTTTTTTTGTAAAATAAATCATTTCTTTTTAGATAACGTGTTTTGGGTTTTCAAATTAGAATTCGTTTTGGGTTTTATAAAAACCTCAATCTATTTAAATAATAAATAGATAATTAGTTATATAATGACACATCAAAAATATAGAATATTAATCATTTAAAATTATTTAAAAAAATAAAATAATATTTGCACGGAAGTGCAGATTTCATAATTTAAGATATGTTTATTGTTACGTTTCCTCGCCAACCCTAGTATATGATAAATATAAATACGGTCTTAGCTAGGATCTGAATTTAAGGAAAACAATCCATTCTATGAAGTATAGTCAAATAACTTGACCGACAACATATATACATTTTGTGGTATGTTCATTTATCAATTTTTAAGAGCATGAACCTAACCTTTATTCATAATACGTTTTAAGTAATAACTGAATAAAAGTAACTGGATGTGGCCGGATAATCTGGATATGTGGAAAATATTTCATTTTAAGATGTATACTTCGACAATTTAGACTACAAGATATAGACTTTTATGGTATGTTTATTTCATCAATATATATGTTTCATTCAAGTATGTAAAATTATTGGTTGTAAAATATTCTATGTAATCTTTTTTTAATTTGTAATAAAACAAGTTAATCAACTTTAAAAATATATAACTTTGTTAACAATATATTTGTTTATTATTTATTGATAAAATATAAATATAATTGTATGAATACACGGCAGTAGAACCTGGAGTTGAGGAAATATTTAATTTTTATGATGTATTTTTAAAAATAAATTAAACTGCAACATTCATCAACTAAACACTACCATTGTTTCATTGTTTCATGTACTTTTTCGCTTTTCTATTAATGTTTCTCATATGCTAGTTGTAAACTATACTGCGCTTAAATAAGGTGACCGTCCTACCTACAAATCAAATAAAAAAAAGTCTGATTTCACACGTGTCAGTACATTATCGTGATAAATTGTAACGTTTGCCTCCTCACCCAAATCACTTTAATTCAGGCCATAAATCTTCCCCAACTGTAACCATTAAAGACATATACAATGCATCACATTTTTTATTTTCTTTTCCATTTCAATCGAATAACCAAAAAGGAATATATTTACCTAACAATGTATATCCACCTGTATATCACAAATCATTAAATGATTTGTGAGGATCTTAATTTAATCGTCGATATGTTCAAACTATAAAAAATAGAGCCATTAGAAGTAGTTTATGTTTCAGTTTTGCTGATTTAATTTTAAAGCTAAAAATACAAAGTTAAGGCATTGGATCAACTACTTTCTTTGCTCAAATTGTGTTAGTTTTTTCATATCCCAATGCCATTTAATGTCTTACTTAGAACCGTTTTTCATGTTTATACATGGAAAAGAATGTATAAATTTGGTGGCATGTTCCGTAATTAAATGAAGAATCCAAGGGTAAATCGAAACGATGCCACCTATAAATCAAAAGGCAAACATCACAACTAAAACACACAAAAACTGAGAATCTCAAAAACAAAGAACAAAAAAAAAACAGGGAGATGGGTTTGGTTACAGATGAAGTGAGGGCTAGGGCAGAGAAATACACAGGAGACGAGTTATGCCGCGAGAAGACCAAGGAGTTCCTCAAAGAAGTTGCCATGCCTAATGGGTTACTGCCGTTGAAGGACATAGAAGAGGTTGGATACGACAGAGAAACAGGTGTTGTGTGGCTGAAGCAGAAGAAGAGCATCACTCACAAGTTTGAAGCTATTGGGAAACTTGTCTCTTACGGCACTGAGGTCACTGCCGTGGTGGAAGTTGGAAAGATCAAGAAGCTGACCGGTGTTAAGGCCAAGGAGCTTCTTATTTGGGTCACTCTCAACGAGCTTGTCTTGGAGCAGCCAACAAGTTCTGGGAAGATCAATTTCAGGACACCGACTGGATTGTCCAGGACTTTCCCTGTTTCAGCTTTTGTGGTTCCTGAAGTTGAGAAGCCTGCACCTGTTAAAGAAGCTATTGCAAATTAGAGATGCTTAGTTAATCAAGCTTCTCTCTCTTTTTAATTATCTTTAATCATGTATTGCTTTCTACATGTTATGCTTAATTTTCTAAATTAATAAGATATTTTTCAGTCTAAACCAACATAAACCGGAATATCTTTCAACAACGTATGAACAAGCAAAGCTGAGGTTCTAATTGTCTTAGATCTGAACCTTTTGATGTAAACATTTCAACAGAAAGCTACTTTGTCAATGTCACATGTGTCTTTATCTTTTTCTTTCCACAAAGGAAACTCAGAGATTACTTCACAACCAACCATTTCTTCAAAGTTTCTTGTAAGCTATGACAATTCAAAACAACAATACAAGAAAGAGAGGTCATGCTATAAAATATATAAACAGCATTTGTTCCATTAACGCCTGTTAAGATTGTCCTGATATCAAAGTTGGTTCCATCCCTGATCTAAAACTAGGTATGGTGACCTTTGTTCTTTAGTATGTATGACCACTCTCCATTACTGTATCTATGTATAAAGAGATTTGCACACTAATGGTAGTTAAACCCAGAAAGATTCTCACCCATTTTCAGTTTTTGTGGTCATGTTACTAAGGAGAAGTCAGCTTCTCTAGTCTCCTCTATCAATAACTCCAAGACTGAATACACAGAATCAGCACTAGGACAAGCTTTATCACTCACAGCGAATCTGAAAACCTGATTCTCCACCAGGATCCAGCTCATACCTGCTTCTTTTTTGTTCCCCATCATCCTCATCATCTTCCTCACTTTAGCGTAATCTCCCCATCTCCTCTCCGCTGCATAGATATACGAAAGCATCACATAAGTCCCCACCATTCTCGGTTTCAGCTCCATAACTCTTCTTGCAGCTAATCTGCTTATCAATCCCGTGTGTTTATGAGCCTTACAAGCTCCCAAGATCGCTCCCCACGTGGACTCGTCCGGCTTAAACGGCATCGTCTCAACCAACTCATAGGCCTCTCCTATTCTCCCAGCTCTTCCAAGCAAATCCACCACACAGTTGTATATATCTTGATCTGGTTTTATCCCATACTCGCTCTCCATCACATTAAAGTACTTCAACCCTTTCTCCACTAAACCTGCGTGGCGACACGCGCTCAGAACCGCCATGAACACAATCCGGTCCGGTCTAATACCACCAACACTAACCATTTCATCAAAAAGCTTCACAGCCTCTGCTCCATAACCATGTGAACCGTAACCAATCATCATCGACGTCCAGGAGACAAGATTCCTCCTCTCTGCAATCTCACCAAACACTCTTTCAGAGTCAGGCACGTCGCCGCATTTAGCATACATGTCGATCAAAGCATTAGCCAACTCAACGTTCTTGTTAAACCCTCTTCTGTATATCCTTCCGTGAAGCTGCTGGCCACAGTTCAACGCTGCTATGTTAGCGCAGGCGGCTACTAAGCTTGTGAAAGTGTAGCAGTTTGGTACAAAGCCTTGTGACTCAAACCGCTGAAACATGAGCAGAGCTTCACTGCTGTCTGAACGCTCAAGCTCGGATATCAAAGTGTTCCATGTGATGAGATCTCTGTCTGCCATCTCATGGAAATGGCGTTTGGCCTCTGTTAGGTATCCACACCTGCAGTACAAGTCCAGTATAGAGTTCATCACTGGAAGGTTAGAGTGAAAACCACGTTTAACCACGGACGAATGGATCTGTTTTCCAGTTGTTACAGAATCAATGGAAGCGGAGGCTTTAACCGCTATCGTTATACAATGAGGAGTTACATCTTCATTCTCCTAGAAACATATAAAACATATCAAAATGGTGAAATCTCAATCCCAAAACCCGAAAACAGAACCAGAACCAAAAAATGACCAAAAACAGACCGGAAATTACAGAAACACGAACAGTTCCTGTATTTTTAAACTCGAAAAATAGAAACAGAACCTAAACCAAACGAGTATCCAAATATTTTAAATATAACAAAATATTAATTATTTTTAACTTTAATATTTACAAAATTTAATTTATAAATAAAAATATAAAAAATGAACTACCTGAATTACCTAAATATTTTTTTCGGTTATTTCCGGATTTAATTGAGTTTTTCGGTTTTTGGGTTTTGAACACGAACTATTTCTAATTCAGTATAAAAAATAGAAATCCGACACTACCCAAACCCGACATTACTCGAACCGATCTGCTGAAAACTGGGTCCTAAACACCCAACCTGAACCGAAAACTCGAATGCTCAACACAAAGAAATTCACTCAAAATGTGAGGAACATAAAGAACTTACCAGCAACATTTGCTTATACATCTTTAAACCGCCAATGCCATCACCTAAGTGTGTAAAACCGGTGATTAGAGTAGTCCAAGTGACTTCGTTCTTCACCTTGATATACCGAAAAACCAAACAAGCAGCGTCCATCGTTGTAGAACAAGTAGCGTACATATTCATCAAAGCATTGTCAACGTAGATAGAACCTTCCACACCGAGTTTGATAACAACCCCATGAACCAAACCACCATAAACCAAAACCTTCATGTTTCTGCAAGACGTGAGGACGCTAGAGAGTGTGAACTCATTCGGGTTCGTTCTTTGCCTGATCATCTCACGGAAACACTCCCAAGCGCGTGCGTTGTGATTAGAAGAAGCGTAACCTTTGATCATCGCTGTCCAAGCGACTACGTCTCTCTCAGGCATTTCGTCGAACAGTGAGCGTGCTTCTTCCACTAAGCCTTTTTCGAAGTAGGAAAGGATGAGGTTTGTTGCTAAAATGTGATGCTTCTTGGGTTTATAAGGAGGAGACTCAGTGTTTTGATCATGCGACTCGACGCAGGCGTTACGTAGAGAGCTTCTGACGAAGTTTGGGATTGGTTTAAACGCGTTGGAGCGTACAAGTTTTGTGATGCTCATGTCTTTGCTTCAGACCTCAACTGTGTCTGATCACAGTTTGTTCGGAACCTTTTAGAGTTTCTTTTCTGGGTTCAGGCATGGTTTCATAGTTCAGACCTCAACAGTTTGTTAAAAAAAAAGGAGAATGCAATTGTTTTGTCTAGTTCCTTTGTTATTTTAAATGTATGTGCCTCTATTTTCATGGTCTCGATTTTGTTTTTTCAGATATCATAATAAATGAAATTCAACTACATTTTTCTTCAATTAAACTACATCTTCTTTTTTTTTTTTCAATTTTTTTTGATGATTCAGGTATCCGGACACTTTGAATGAAATTCGACTAGCGTCTAAGTACACTCACTTTTTTCATCCCATTTTAATCGGTGGTGGTCAGTAGGATTCGAACCCGAGCTTACAAAGACGAGAACTGAATTTGTATGCGGTTGGGTTCATTATAACTTATCCGAAGTAAATTATTTGATATGATGTGGTATGAAACTAAAGTAAAACCAGTTAAAAATGTAATATTTTATTAATCTATAACACTATTAATCTGTAGAAAAATATTTTTAAATAGCATGAGCAAAATTTCCAACAAATAATTTGTTATAAGACAAGCTTAAACAAATGCCAAATTGATTTACAAAAGAGAATAAATAAAATCTTAAAAATTAAATAAAATTACAGTGAAAATTGAAAATTTAATATAAAGTGAAACAAACATATAATACAAAACACCAGTTTTTGTTAAATAAAATATATTAATTATTATCTATGGCATTATTGAGACACTTTATTTAGTACTTTAAAACATAACTTTTTATTTTATTACAGTACATCACATTTTCAATTTATTTAGTTTGGAGATGGACTGATTATTATCCTGAGAAATTAATTAGTATAAAATATTAAAATTTGAAAAACTCTTAGAAAAATGTATCCATTATTTTTGTTACACATCGAAAGTGCAGTAAAATCAAAAGAAGAAATATAGATCATTACATTCTTCTTAATTTTGCTTTATTTAATAATTTTATATTCACTAAAAATCTCTTAGTGTTTTTTCAATTCAAACTAACATTATTAAATAAAATGTAGAACTAATTTTAAATTAAATAATATTTATTATTTTTAAATATTTTGTAAAACTAAAATATCTTAAAATTAAATAGTTTTATTGTAAATATATCCGCCCATAAGGCGTACCAATCTCTAGTATCTATATATATATAAAAGATAACTTACTCACTTCTCATACTGCCACATCAGCGTACAAAGAGAATGCGTCACATTGGATTACTCTTTCCAACATCATCTATAATATTTATTTTTTTGGGTTTGGTAATCCTCTTTTACCATTTTAGGAATACAAAGATAATTATGAATTAAAAATGAGATATTACTATCCAATATTTATATATTTATCTCTTTTTACAACAGAAAACATAATATCTAACTATTACAAAACATTTATATATAAAAAAAGTTACTATATTTTTATGAGATTATTAAAATGTCATTATATTTATTATACTTATGTTTTAGTGCCACTGTAAAAAATATTCCATAAAAAAATATTAAAAGTTAGCCATAAACAAAACTATTTTTACAAAACAATTAAACAACCACAAATGAAAGTTCACGGAGTTCTTATAATATATATTAGCTAACCATTTTTTCAATTGAAACTATATTCACACATAAAAAAAACTACAGCAGTATTATATAATTTTCAACTTTTCAGATTAGATGTCTTTCTAATTTTTCACACTAATTAAAAAATGTTAAATGTTTTGTTTACTCTTATTTATTATTTAAAATTTATTAATTATTTTCTACTACTATGTAAGGATTAAACAAAATTAACACATATATTAATTCGAAAGCATACAACCTCACTCATACCACCTACTTTTTATGCAGTTGATCTCCGGTAATTATTTCCTCGCACAGATCATTTTTTCAAACAAACAACATTAAAACATGTCAATTCCAAATCAAATCGAACACACTACCAATAAGAGTTAAAACAGATTTTCTCCATGCTCAAACATCTTACTATCCATAAACATTAATATATATATATATATATATATATATATATTTTTAACATAAAACACATGCAAAGAAAATATACG